GTACTGTGCGAGACCTACAAAGTCCACATAAGCTGGTTTGTTGGTGGTCCGCGTCCCATTTGGACCGTTGTGTTTTGCACTTTTAATTTTTTCTTCTGTTTCGTTTGTTGTTTACTCGACATTTGATTTGCTTTTTAGGTTGATTGTATGGAAAAGACGGCCTTGTTGTATTTGTGCTCTTTTTATGGCTTTTTGAGCATCAGGTGACTGTAACCATATTTAAATGAGAAGTTTTATTGCTCGGTTACCACCTAACAGTAGCTGGTTTGAGCTGCATCCATAAGCTGCACACAGGCACAGATGTCTGATAATTAATGCTAATCAACAGACGAATAAAATGCTGGAACGGTCTCTTAGCTGATGGGTCGCTCGTCACAATTTTAAACATCATTAAAAATGCTCCAACAGCACAAACACAGTCGAGAGGTCCAGTTCAGTGACTCTGATTACCCACCACCCACCTGTCAGGGCCACGCCCCCATCAATGCAAACTTTAAGCCTTATCAGTGTCCAAATGAATAAGTTAAATACGATTAACATTGTTTACAGTTCATCAAATTTTTAATCTTTTTACTTGCGGGTCTGCAAAGGCTAAGCTCGAGTGGCCATTAGGTCATTAATGGATGTTTCTGGTTGGTTGGGCTTTGTTTGGCTTCCTGTGTATCCCACTTCACTGCCAGTGGACACCTCGTGTGGAAATGTGGGTTTGACAAAAAGTGTTAAAATTACTAATTTATTTATCACATATTTTTATTCCCCTTATGTATCCCAGGTTAAATATTTTAAATTTTTAGCACCTAAATTTAAGTTTCATCTGATCTCCAAACACTGCAGACTCATGAATCTGTGTCAATGTAGCAATAAAATGCCAAAGATGTGTTAGAGATGCACATTTAGTCAACAAGAGTCACTTATGATTTTTTTTACTATAAAATTCCCAAGACGACCTCGACACGACGCGTTCGAACATAAATGTTACAATCCACTATTTTGTGTTTGTTATTAAAACTCTTAAAATCAGTAGCTGAAAAGACTTTTGTGTGAGGTTTAGAGGGACATAAACAGGAAGCAAAAGATGAAATGCCTTGAGATGTGAGCATGAATATGAACTTGAGTGCAGTGCAACGAAGAGAAATTGTATTTATTGTCTGCAGGTGGCGCCGTGTTGAATGTGCAGCAGTTATGAACTTCCTGGAGGTCGAAGCTTCTCGGTTTACCTGAAAACACTGGACTGTTATCTTATGCTCAACAACTACCTTTCCCATGAGTCTTAGCCACAGGAGCACAGTTAAAGTTTTGTGGGAGTCGATGTCGGCGAAATCAAAAAGCGTTCAGCTTGTAGAATTTATAGAAAATCCAAAATGAGCTTAATGAGCTGCGAAGGTTTGTGCAGGTTAAAGCGAACGGCTCCTCCTTGTGGAGATACTCTGAAAATACTTTGTGAACAAGTTCATATCTCAAAAGTTAAACATGTGCTCGTCAGCTGATCAGGTTACTTCATAAAAGCCCCAAATATCAAAGTAAAAAGCCTGAAGCTCCATTCAGGTGGGATTCATGTCTCAGTGGTGCTTTGGTGTGGCCTCGGGAGGCTTTCTTCTTCTTCTTCGCTCTGAAGATGAACCTTCTGCTCCTTCCTAACATTTAAGGTTTGGTTCTCGCTTCATTTTTTCTCTTTTCAAAAGCAGAACACAGCCAAAGAGTTTAAATT